CTGGATTTTTTTTGCCTTGAACAGATTTAAGCAGGAGATGTTGCTCAGCCAGGAACATCTTTTCTCCTCAGGGAGTTTACAGGAAGGTCCAGGTTTGGAGCCTTACTCTATGGACCACCGCAGCACTCCTTGTCTGGACATGACATTTTCCCAAAACCCTATTGTGTTGCAGCCAAGTCATTTTGCCAGTTTATTCTGACCTCTTCATTTGTGCTGAATGACATTTACCTGTTCACTGCTGCTGTAGCTTTAGGGGAAATGACTTGAGGAAAATATTCTATCCCTGTCAGTGAACATGCGAAGCTGGAGTCTCTTGTGGTTTCTAAAGGTTAACTTCAGCCGTATCTACTCGCATCACATTTTCTGCTGCCTTATCTTATATCAGCTCCGTGAGTCAGACTGCTGGAGGCCCACATGCACCAGGGCCTGCAGGTCGGCCGGGTTCATAATCGCTCACACTCTAGTAGGAACTCATTATCCATAGAAGGGATGATTTAACACTTCCTGGAAAAAATATTCTCCATGTCTCATACTAGTTCGTCTCATTACACGAGGCAGTAGTAGGTGCTGCTAGTTTGTAATGACTCAAAAATATTAATTTAACATCTCAGCCGTTAAGTATTAAATCTTTATTATTGCTTCTGTCGGAGCCAGGAAATAGAAGAGACTCAGGGCAGAATGTCTGTTGAACGTCTAAATGTGTGTTTGAAAGTGAGTAGAACATGTCCTGCTGAGCTTCCAAAGAACATAGGGCTCTGTATGTCATAACTGTTAATACAGTCAAACACTGTCACCTTCAGCTCCGGCCGAGGTCTTTGACACATTTTCATGGTCTCCAAACCACGTCTCTACTCTCTCGCCTCCGTCCTCTCCAGTACTGTGTACCGTCGCTTGATTTTGATGGATGGATGTGGGTTTATATACAGTAGTTCACAAATAAATACTTGTAGTGTTTGTTCTCATAAACATGGATGAGTATTATATCAATAATTCATATATATTAAAAGTATTTATAAATGGTAGTCCTAAGGTAGCATCATTAGCCATGTTTTTGTTAATATAAAGCACTTCATGTGTGCTGAGAGCTAAGCTAAAACTTGTCTAAAGATTTATCCAAAAATTCACTCAACACAATGAGGCAAATGTATTTAAAGGATAATTTATAAGGATAGTTTATAACTGAGACTAATAGAACAAAATAATATTAATAATAATTATTAATATCCATAATGTAAATTTTAACAGTATCAGTGCTTGAATTACAGCCAAAGAAGGACATTCTATACTTCCCCTGTGGGCTCCTTTTTACATAGCGTTTATTTTAGCCTGAAGAACTTGCATCAGAGGCCCATATAGGCTTTACAGTCTCTCGCACACACCCACGCAAACACAGCCACTAACCAAGCACACTCGCACACATGCACATGTGCACATAGAGACGAGAGCCACAATCATCCAACGGTTGAGCTGGCTGGTACACTTGGCCTGGTTTCCATGGCGACTATGGCCACTGAATCTCCCTGTGTACAGACACAGTGGGATGTAGAGTGGGGAGGAGGGTGATTTCAGATGTGTGTGTGTGTGTGTGTGTGTTTGCTGTGTTCAGATGGTAGACGGTGTATGCTGTTTGGTGCTACAGTACAGTGTGGTTCTAGTACAGCTTGTTTACTGTTGGTTTGTAAATCCTGGAGTCCAATATTAACATGTTCTGTCTTCGGGGTGGTGGAGACAGACACTGTTTGCTTCTGCTCAGCAACAGCAACAGGTCTGCAGTCGTCCCACAGACACATTTATCATCATTACTTTAAATAAACATTACTTCTATAACATTGATCCGCTTCATCTGGTTTAGTGCTTCACAGGAAATGTACAGTAGTGTGCTGCGGTCATCAGTAGGCGATCAGGTCATCATAATTATTTACCAAGGAAAAATTGAGCTGTTAGTTTGCAGAGAAGCAACTAAAATAATAAAAGTAGAAAAAAGTATGTGGGTGTGATGTAGCGGTTGGCATAAGGCTGACACAAATGATTATCCTACCTACCGTATTATATCATTACAGTTGGTCACTCTCTAACCTGCTATGCAGATGTGATTATTTATGTATAAGTAAGTCATCCTAAAGAAGTCCAATTTTCACAGCGTTTGCCTAATAATTATACCTCACATGTAGTCAGACTGAACCAAGATTATCATCATGTCAGTGGAATGGTTTTGACTCTAGTCCATTAGTATATAACAAAGTATAACAGTAATTCATACAATATAGAGTGCAGTGATATTACAGATTATTGCTTCTAAGAAGCGCCTGTTCGACAAAAACGTAATGAAAGATTTCAACTGAGGCTAAAACTAATGACATGTTCTTCTCCTCCTCTGTCCTTCGCCAACAAATACCCATCTGTTTACGTAGATAACTTATTAGTATTGTGTTATTCTAATAGGACGTTTAATTAAAATTCAAATCTCCTCCAAGTGAACATGACTGCGTTGTAATCAATTATAGTCAGCTGCTAACCATGACAAACTGTCGTTCATAGGTGGCAGCCACGAATTAGACCCTGCAGCAGTGAATTAGGTCACAATTCAAATCTTTTGTGATGACGAGGAGGTGAAAGAGGAGCAGAGGTAAACCCAGACTCTGTAGTGACGACCTGAGTCTTCCAGTCACTCCTGCCACCTGAACCAGTTGCCGTTGTGTTCGTCGGGGCTAACTAGCTGCTAGGCTAGCTCCTCTTCTTTATTCAACCCCGCATGTCGCAGCTGTCTGTCTTTTCATCAACAACAAACATACAGTATGAGCAGAAGGTGGTCAGGTTGGTGGCCATGGAAAACCAATACCATCGTGTCAAAGGTCTCCCTCTAGTGGACAAATTAAAACCATCTCATAATCCACCATGAGAACCACTGCTTGCATAACCACACCTACTGTTGTAGAATGTCTGTTTTTCTACTTGTAGTGAAGGGAGCCCAGGTATAATAACGTGACTTGACAAATTCTCCCTCCTGTAATTCCTCAGACTATATTTCACCAGCTTTACAAAAGCTTTGTCAAGGATTAAGAAGTAGCTGTGTTGTCCACAAATTTCTATGGAAAGAAAAAAGTGCGGAAACCCCTTCAGGTGTCAAATATTAGTACTTAAAATAAATTAGCAGTTACAAGTCATCTCAAATTGAAGAAAAATAAGAAATATACTATGTGTGTATATGGCATCTAAATGTATGCTAGAGTTAGCTAGAAATTAGCCAGCATTTCTCTTAGCCCAGTAGGACGTTGCTAAATCCTGTTTAAATTTATTATAAACACTCAGCTAAAGAAACCCTAAAAGGTAATTATCCAAAGAATGAGTGGGCCACATTAAATCTGTTTAAGTGCCACACTTCTCCCCAGACCATTGAACATGGCTGTCATATGTCGTGTTTATTATTCATATATACAGTTCGCTGATTGAATTTAATCATTCTAATGCTTTAAGGCTAAATTAGCGGTTTTGTGCAGCGGCTGTTCAGGAGATACACGAGAGTCTCATATATTGGAGTGACAGTGACCTCGCTGCCTGACTTCTTTTCTTGTCCTCCTCTTCTTCTTCATATCTCCGTTAATGCCTGGTCTGAAGACCTGCTACACTGGTCTGACAGCGACAAAGATCCAGGGAATGGTTTGAAAGGAATAAGCAAAGAGAGTGACAGCCATGTAGAGAAAAGAGAGAAGGGGAGATTTCCCTGGGCACTGCCCCTGCCCCTGCCCCTGCCCCTGCCCCTGCCTTCTCTCACGTCAACCGGGGCATTGAATGGCTGACGGCTACATACCAAGCCTCCTTCTGGGTCTTAGTGTGTTCACGTCCCTGTTTCTGTCCGGCCAAGGCTAAATATATTTCCCCAGTTTGCAAATGTAGCACAAGTCCTGCAACCTGACCCCAGCCCGGGCCCAGCTCCCTTCCTCTGCACAGGGTTCACGTTCCTCTGGGCTGTGGAGGTGGAGGTGGAGGTGGTGGTGTTGGTTGGGGGTTAGGTGAAGAGGGTGGGCGTGTGTGTGTGTGTGTGTGTGTGTGTGTGTGGAGGTTAAGAGACGGTCCTCCTGGTTTCA